TCATTGCCAAACCCAAGGTCATCTAGGTTTTCTTCTGTTACCTTCTAGGAGTTTTGTAGTTTTTTGCATTTTACAGTTATGTCTATGATCCACTTTGACTTAATGTTTGTCAATGGTGTGAGATCTTTGTCTACATTCATTCATTTATAGGATGTTCAGTTATTCCAGCATTGTTTACTGAAAAGATTAGCTTTGCTTCATTTTATTGCCTTTGTTCTTTTGTCAAAGATCAGTTGGCTATATTTATGTGGATATATTTTCAGACTCTATTCTGTTCCATTGATCTATTTGTCTCTCTCTGTAATACATACATGCATACATATATATATATATAATATATATATATATATTTTCCCCCATACCACAGTGTTTTTACAGTAAGATGTAGCTTTAAAGTAAGTCTTGAAGTCAGGTAGTGTCCGTCCTCCAAGTTTGTTCTTCTCCTTGAATATTATGTTGGCTAGTCTGGGTCTTTTGCCCCTTTTTATAACTTTTAGAATCAGTTCATCAATATCCCCAAAATAACTTGCTGGGATTTTGACTGGGGTTGCGTTAAATCTACAGATTAAGTTGGGAAGAATCTTGATAGCTTGACAATATTGAGCCTTTCTATTCAGGGACATGAAATATTTTCCTTCTTATTTAGTTTTTCTTTGATTCCTTTCATCAAAATTTTGCAGTTTTCCTCATAAAGATCTTTTGCATGTTTTGTTAGATTTATTCTTAAGGTATTTCTTTTTTTTTCAGGTGCTCTAATATCAATGGCATTGTGTTCTAAATTTCAGATCCCACTTGTTCATTGCTGTTATGTAGGAAAATGATTGACTTTTGCATATTAATCTTGTAGACTGCCACCTTGCTATTAATGTAATTGCTTATTAGTTTCAGATGTTTTTTCTCTGGTCAGTTCTCTCAGATTTTCTACATAGACAATTACATCGTCTGGAAACAAAGACAACTTTATTTATTTCTTCCCATCTATATATTTATATTTTATTGCCTTGTTTATTGCATTAGCTGGAACTTTTAGTATGACATTGCAAAGGAGTCTGGAGAGGCGACCCCCGTGCCTCATTCCTGGTCTTAGTGGGAAAAGGTTTGAGTTTCTCACCAGCAAGTGTGATGTTAGCTGTAGGGTTTGTGTAGATATTCTTTATCAAGTTGGGGGAAGTTCTCATCTATCTCAATTATCATTTTTCAGAGCTGAATAAAAGGTATTACATCGAGTTCCTGTTCAAAGCTGGTTAAGGCACCATCTCTGTGAGGTTTCCGTGCATTGCACAGTCCAGAGCCTATGGTTATGGCCCTTCAGTTTCAGATGAAGAACAAAACCAGAGAGAGGCCCCAGAGCTGCCCTGGAGTGTGGGGTGGAAAACACCAAGAGGCCTGTCTTTCCAGACCTTCTTTGAAGAGCTTCATCTTTAGTTACCAATGCAGTGGGGGTGGGTGTCAGAGGAAGGATGACTAAATTGGGGAACCCTCATGGCAGGGACAGCTTGGGAGTGGGGATAACGCTCCTGTGTTGGCCTTCTGCATCTGGTTTAATTCTGTCCTGAGAGACATCAGCTCTGTTAGGTCCTGCCGTGTCTCCGGAGCCTCAGAGCTATGGATAAGTGAATGAACTTTACCACCTAGTTTATGAGAAACACTTTGTGAGTGTTTTCCATTTCTTTTCTTCTTTAAAAAGGACAGCAAGAAAGAGACAAAAAAGGGAAGAGGACCTGTTTCTGTCTCCTTATCTCCCTCCCACAGCCTCCTCCGCCTCCTGCCGCTGTCCCTTCCCCAATATTCCAGTGGCCCTTGGGGTCTGGCTTGCTGGTGCCACAGCTGGGAATGATGCAGATATTTTGGAATGTCTAGGCCTCAGCATCACATCCCAACTCTATTTTAACATTTTCAGTGTTGATTTATAGTCAATCCTATTTAAAGAATATGTTCTAGAAATTACTTTAAAAGATTATCTAAACACAAAAATTTAGCCACCCTAGCAAGGACCTGTCCTCAGCTGAACTCTTGTGTCAGCCTTAAATTATATTTGATAATAATAATATCAAAACTAGGTCAATAACACTGTCTTGTTACAATTGGAAAGGTGTCATTCTCTCAAATTGTCATTTCCAAAGCAGGATTTATTTTCTTCTCTTGATCCCAAGGTAAATTCTGGCTGAGTGAACAGCTGAGAAGCCTGGATTCCTTTGTTAGTATTTTCAGATGAGGGCTTCTCATTGTCAGCCAGGAGTGCTGAATTCATGAAACCGGCCCAGGGCTGCTTTGGGCTTTTCACGAATATATTTGCAAATGAGAAGAGAATTGGCAAGTGAAGATCCAATTTGCTCTGCCAATCACCCCCCATTTTCTCTTTGTATTTCCTATCAAGACCGACAGATTTTAAATGGCTGAGCAACCTTCTGCGCTGGCTCGGGAACCTACAGTGTCGGTTCGGGCCAGGTCCTTTCAAATGGGTTGGAAGAGCAACGTCAAACAGCACCTCACGTCAGAGGGCTCTTGGCATCGTGACCCAGGGGCTGGATTTCTATGTTATCTCGCAGACTTGGACAGCTCCTGAGCAGTGGCATGGAATGAGAATGTGGTCTTAGGGCCCTAATTCTCCGTCAGGGCACTCCTACCTGGAGACCAGCTGAACACAGAGCAAAGTACAATTTACCAAGAGACAGAAAATTGGATGCTGGTGAGCATTTCCATCTGAAGCAGAGCTGGGCTGCATTGACCAGCATGTGGCAGAGGGTGGGAAAAGGCAGCTCTGCCATGACATGAACCCACCAAAAGGCCCAAAGTCCCGAGTCTCCTTTGTAGGACCACAGGCAATTCATGCAGCTGCTCTCTCTGTTTTCCCACCTGTGAACCAGAGGACTGTGATGATGCCCTGTTTGCCGAAAATCAAACAAGATCACGAACCTGAAAACACTTTGCAGGAGTCACACTCTCCATGCAAAGTATATGTACATTAGAGGTAAAACCATATGATGAAATATTTTTCTATTGTGCTGTTGCTGAAGATTGGTAAAACCAAAGACAAGGCACCCTTAAGTTGTCAGAATAGTCAAGAAAAAGAACCGAGGTGAAAAATTGGCCCTATCAGATATCAAAACACAGTGAGAAGTGGTTGGAATCAGTGTGATACAGGCGCAAAAAATCATTTTCATTGTTTAACGTCAAGAGTCCAGACTCATTCAAATTAGTAAGGGGAATTATGGGTTATTTAATAAATGCTATCAGGACAATCATTCATGTCTTTGGGAAGAAGAGATCCCAATTCACGGTATTGACAAAAACAATTTTCAGATAACCGAATGTTATATCAAAAATTCAAAAACTTACACATGAAAATATGTTTCAGTTTTCAGAGGTGGGAACGGGTCTTCTTAAGATCCAAAAAGACAAAGAAATAAAAGATTGATAAATTTGACCTCCTAAAATTTTTGATGTTTAAAATTTTTAAAATAACTTTTATTGGAGTGTCATATATAAGCAGAAAAGAAGACAAATCTGTGACTTCCTTTGACAGGCAGAATGGTGCATAAGTGATGCTAGGTGATTTCACAGCTAGGGCTTGGGATAGCTGCAGTTTCTGCTACCCAAGGCTTGGGATCCTCCCTCTTAAAAGCAAACTGTGAGAAACTCAAGTCTCATGAGGATAACTGAGGCACTGAGTTCCCAGCCAGTATTCGGCTTCCTGTATGTGAGCACGCCATCTTGAACTTTCCAGCATGGTCAGTCCCGAGGATTGCAGCCTAGTGCAGTGGAGCCAACTCTCAGAACATAAAGGTGGAACCTTATTGTTTTAAGCCACTAAGTTTTAGAATGCTTTGTTATGCAGTAACAGATAACAGAAATACTTCTTTCTTCACGGCTGTGCAGAATCACTTTTAGCATAAACCAAGCATTGCAAGGAGAGTCTTGTTCAGGGCTCTCCTGTTCCATTGCTCCAATCCACCAATACCACAGAATTTACTTGGATCTCTTTACCTCAGTAACATGTTGAAGTTCTCTATGTAGAGTTCTTGCACATTTTATTTGATTTATTCCTTTTGTATTTCCTGAATATGCTATTATGTCATCTGCCAAAACTAGAGGTTTTTTTTTTTTTCTTTCTAATCCTTATGGTTGCCTTTTTTGTTTTGTTTTGTTTTTAATAGAACTGGCGAGGACCTCCGGGACAGTGTTGAATAGAAGCGTCAAAAGAGGCATCTCCCTTACTGCCAGACTCAGAGGGCAAGTTTTCAGTATTCCATTTTATCTATGGCATTGGGTGAAGATTGCTCTTTTCCTTTGTAGATACCTTTTATCAGATTATGGACATTACCTTTTATTTCTAATTGGCCAAGAATTTTTGAATTATAAATGTTTGCTAAATTTTATTACATTCTTTTTATTGTACATTTGAGATGATGCTATGGCTTTCTCCTTATTCTAGTAATAGGTTGAATTATATTCATTGATTTTCAAATGTTAAACCAGCCTTGCCTTCCTGGTGTACATCTAATTTGGTTGCCATGTATTTTCTTTTTCTTTGTTGTTACATTCAGGTTCTTTCTGGTGTCTATGTTTTAAAGAGAGATTGACCCATAATTTTTCTTTTTGTAATATTCTTACCTGATGTTTAGTGTAATGGCTGTGCTGGCCTTATAAGCACACATTAAGAAATTTTCTTGGCTGGGTGCAGTGGCTTATGCCTGTAATCCCAGCACTTTGAGAGGTGGGCGGATCACCTGAGGTCAGGAGTTCAAGACCAGCCTGGCCAACATGGTGAAACCCTGTCTCTACTAAAAATACAAAAAAATTAGCTGGGTGTGGTGGGTGCCTGTAATTTCAGCTACTTGGGTGGCTGAGGCAGGAGAATCGCTTGAACTCGGGAGGTGGAGGTTTCAGTGAGCTGAGATCGTGCCATTGCACTCCAGCCTGGGCAACAAGAGCAAAACTCCGTCTGAAAAACAAAGAAAAGAAGTTTTCTCTCTTTTTCTGTTCCTGGAAGAGTTTTATTGTAAGTTTCGTGTTGTTGCTTTTTTAAATGTTCGGTAGAATTCATTAAAAAGACGTCAAGGCCTGGAGCTTTCTCTGTTCTGAGTTTTGAAATTATAAAGTCAGTTTATTTAACAATATACTATATAAGCCAGAAATTATTGTCAATGTCTGTCATAGGCAAAAAGATTACCCTATGTGTACTGTGAATTATATGCAGGGATATTAATTGCTGTGTATGTTTTTGAACAGTGAAAAATTGGAAACAACCTAAGTTTTTATGACAAGGGACAACCCCAGCATCTTTTTAATTAAATAAAGTAATTTTCAGAGCAATGTGTTTAGTCCGAATCTACTGAAAACATGTAGCACCGAGCCCCAGCATGGTGCTGTTTATTTTCTAATCCTGTTGGTTTCTGTGTGTCAGTGTGGAGAAGGGTAGTGAAGACACAGCAAACCAGACCAGCTGCAGCGCTGGGGGTGCCGTGGAGGTGGGGTGCAGGGCCAACCAGCATTGTCAGTCGTCTGTGAAGTGAGGTTTTCTTTTGACAAGGAAATGACTCCATGTGTAACTTGCATAATAAAAACGTTCTTGCGGATGCCCAGGAACAGCGGTCCCTAGATACCTGCACTGGTCTGCTTGGGTAGTGGCCATCCTTTATCCAGGCCCCACCTCCACCTCCTGTCCTCCAAGACCAGAGACCGCGGCTTTCTTCCCCAGAGGAAGCTTCCTTAAGCAGTTAGGGTGGGGCTTCCTCCACTTCCCGAGAGCAAGGCCGAGAGCAAGGCCGACCCTGGCCCTGGTGGGTCACTCCTGCCACCTCCTCTGGGTCCCAGAGCCGGCCGCAGCTGAGTGTGTGATCCAGGAGGAGCAATCGGAACCCTCCCCTGGGTCAGTCCTCTGGAAGGTTCAGGAAAAGGCGGCCCCTCTGCCCTGGGGAGATGAAGTCTGGCGAGCCTGTGCCTGTGCTTGCAGGTGCCTGTCTCAAGAACCAAACCAAGGGAGGTGCACAGAGCGGAGGGAGGCGCAGGGGTGGGACCCCGGCAGCTTCTGTGGAGCCGCGTGTTCGAGGTGACCTGGAGCCTGTGGCCCTAGTTAGTTCCCCAGGTGTGTGGGGCCACACGTTCCCCTCCGAACTTAGGCAGTGGAAGGCTGAGTTTTTATCTCAAATGCCTGAATGAGAATGTGGCAGAGCTGGGGTCCAGCCCTACTTGTACTCCAAGAAGTGGTTGCTGTGTGTACTAGACACTCACTCACTCTTTGTCTCCATTCTCTGTGAAATGGGTGGGTCAATGCTTTGGTTTCTGAACAGGATACTGATAAAGAATATAAAAGAATGACAGCGTTTGAAATTTCCAACTAATAAAAATTGTGTCACAAACAAAATCAAATTTGCAGATGATGCAGACGTCCTGCGCTGCTGTGAGGCTGAGCGAGGGGCGGCTTGCGGGCTGGTGTGCTCTGTCAGCAGAGGTGTCAGCTCCTCAGGAAGCAACTGGGCCGGGTTCTCTCCCAGCCTCCCATCTCCGCCCCTAGTCTTCAGGTCATATTGAGCATGACAAGAACTTCCTAAGTGGTGGCAGGTGTGAGCAGCTGCCATTTAACAATAAATACTATGTACTGACTTGTGACAGGCCAGGCACAAAATCCCAGAGCTACACAAAATGACAATGGTAATGTTATTGTCTCCATTGTACAGATGAGGAAACCAAGGCTGGCAGAGGGCAATGAGATACTCGAAGTGGCATTCATGTTAATCACGGCAGAATCAATGTTAAACTTAAATGCCAGATCCTCAATGTGCAGACTTGCAAACACCATGTGGGCTGTCTGTGTGTTTGCTCAGGGACCACAGAGGCGACAAAACACTTGACAGAAGAAAGTGATTTGCAAATACAATTTTAAAACATTGATTTAAAAATCCTTTGCCTTCTGAGGATTACAAGGAGTTAAAATGCAGCATGTAACCCAGCAGGTAGCGGTTGACAGGAAAATCAGGTTTCATTGTTATCACAGGATGATTAGGAGTTTCACTTTAAAGACCGTCTTCCTGTCTCCTCTTCTTTTTAAAAAAATACTTTGACTTCTCTGCAAAAGGCTTCTGGAGGAGTTAATTTCTCATGTATGAGAAAACCACCGCCCAATGCCCTGCCATTGCTGCTGCTTCGGGCTGGCGCTCACGGAGCCCTGGGTCACTTTCTCTTCCCTCGCTTGTTTGTGGAGAGGAGACCCAGGAGTAACAGTCTTTCAGCTGGGAGTGCAGGAAACCTGCTCCTTCCTGGGACGCCCAGGGTGTGTTTGGCTTCAGGCACGGATGAGTCCAGGTTAAGATGGCCAGACTTAACAAAAAACAAAACAAAGAAACAGGGCACCCAATTAAATTTGAATTTCACATAAAGAATGACTTTTTTTCTAGTTCAAATATGCCCCCCTTTCATTCTCTATCTAAAATTCCACTTTAAGCGGGCACCCAGGATCTCATCTGGCAACCTGAATCCGAGGGTTGAGATAACTGTTAACTCTGCCCCTCGCTCCTCTCTCTTGCAGGCTTCTCTCCCTGCCGGATGGGTTTTGTTCTGTTCACGTCTGCAGTTGTGGTTGTGCTGTGTACCTTTCCAGAGAAAGAGAGGACTCTTCTGTTCTTGGGGTTGTGTGCTGAATTTCAGGGGCACGGCTGTGCCCACTCCCTGAACTCACAACCGGGGGCTGGAGTATGGAGCGTGTGTATCGAAGCAGAAATGTTGTGATGGGAAGTGAGTTGGCGCCAACTCCATATGACTCCGCAATGTGGCTCCCTGCAAGGAAGAGTAGTTCTCTCTCTCCAGGACACAGTGCAAGGGATACCTTTCCGCTGGCTGGACAAACCGCGCGCAAGACTTCCTGGCCACGGCGGGTTCACCCTTGCCTGGCAACTGGAGAACAAAATCGCGGATTCTCATCCATCAAAATCACAAAGCTACTCTGTGCTGGAGCCAGGTCCCTGCTGGTCTCTTACTGTCTGAAAGAGTTCTGACATTTAGTTTTTTTCCTGTGTTAGAACGAGAATTCTTCTGGTCAGCAAGTAACATTCACTTTCCCCCACTTTGTAAATCTGCCATAGGCCGCCGCATAGTGGTCCCAGGAGGAAAGAGAGTGGGAGACGAACTCCCACGGGCATGGGGCCTCCTGCCGCAGGGGTCCCCGAGGACATCGGAGAAAGAATTCGAACCTTGCTCCAAAGGCTATTATTCAAATTTTAGCGTGGCAGAACATTGAGACAATTCTTGGAAATTAATATGACCACTAATATGATACTAATTAAAAAACATGTCTAGAGATCAGAGCCAACCATGCGGGGAAAGTGCAGACCCGAACTGTAGGTAGCTGGGTCTTGTGCATCTTTAGGTGCTGTCTAAT